CAGAAGCGATGAGAGGAAGAGGCACACTAAAATCCACCTTAGGCAGAAGGACAAGAAAGTGGAAAAGGCAGCTCCAGCCTCAACTGCTTCCCCAATTCCTGCCTATTCATCCTCTGTGACTACATCCTACCCTTCCTCCATCGCCACCACTTATCCCTCCCCAGTGCGCACAGCGTATTCTTCCCCTGCTCCCTCTTCCTATCCCTCCCCTGCACACACCACATTCCCATCCCCTTCCATAGCAACCACTTACCCCTCTGGCACTGCCACTTTTCAGACCCAAGTGGCCACTTCCTTCTCATCTCCAGGAGTCACCAATAATTTCAGCTCACAGGTAACCTCAGCACTTTCAGACATGAACTCAGCCTTTTCTCCAAGGACAATTGAGATCTGCTGAAACTACCTTCTGGAACAGGTGAATTCACCTTTTCCATTGGTATTATCAGACACGGAGTCTCCAATTACTCCCACAACACCATACGTTGCAAGGCTATTTAGTTTAAACTTCAGCTGCCTGAATCGACTGCTGCTTAAGTTTTCCACCTCTGTTGAATGACTTAATTTGCATGGACTGTGGATATAAGTTCAATATAATTTTCCCTGTAAACAATAGTCTTTTATTAGGAAGAAAGGACTTTTGAGTAAGTATCTAGCTGATGTAAATTGTACATGTGCCATGGTTTTGCTTTCCTTTAGGTACTATTGATGTGGAAAAAATCTTTGCGTATTCATATTGTATAATTTGGAGTTTGCAGGGCCATATTTTGTAAATGTTAATTCTATTTCAGTGACTATGCTATAATGCATTTCAAACTTCTTTGGGAACAACACTTACTGTATTTGAGCATGTTGGAGTGATGCTATGTAATTATCACCTGATGAGACACTCACATGTGGCAGAAGTTTTGTTTTAAAAGTTACAAGTCTTGGTGCCTTTTTGTGAAGCCTTGCTGACGTCATGCGTTTGTGTGAGTGGATGCTTTGCATCTTGCCTTAAAGTGGAAGAGATGTTACTCAAAGAATGTAAGGAAAAGCAGGGAATGGGTGGGGAGAGGAGCAAAAGAAAGGGCCAGGGGATGGAATGTAAGCAAAAAAAACCCCAAAAACCAAACAATCAGAAAAAAAACCAAACCAAACAAAAAAACCCCAAACAACAAAAAACCCCCACACACCCTCTCCCCCTCCACCTCTCAAAGTCTATTTTTGTTACAAAAATGTAAATTTATATATATATATATATATATATATTCAGGAGTTGGAATGTTGTAGTTACCTACTGAGTAGGCAGCAATTTTTGTATGTTATGAACATGCAGTTCATTATTTTGTCGTTTCTTTTTACTTTGTAATTGTGTTTGTTTAAATGAAAGTGACTGTTTGGCTTCTAAACACATTGAATGCGCTTTTTCCTGCCATTGGGATATTTGGTGTACAATACCCTTCAGAAAAAAAAATAAATAAAACATCAAATTGTGCAGACTTACACTTTCCTTGAAATTACTACTTAGGAAGACTGCACCACAGCAATCCCAGCCGCTTTAGTTGCTTCAAAGCCAGTACATAACTACTTGTCTCCTGGAAAAAAACCCCAAAAAACAACAAACCTGTTTAAAGAAAGGAGACTAAATCAATCTTATGTCCGGTTGCTTGCAGAAAGCATGGGTGGTGAACTCATGTCCTTGCGTTAGGTGCATCACCACCTCTTTTGAAGCAGCCACAGTTACTGTCTCCTGGTCTAGCCTTCTGGAATTTTGATTGTGATAAAAACTGACCAAGTAGGCTGTCAAGCAATGCTTGATGAGCCTGAGGGTGCCCCGGGTTCTCCAGAGAATTTTGAAATGAGTAACTTCCATATCTAAAGAGGAAAAAAAAAAAAGGTTCTCTTCGGTGTGTGAACTTGGCTATGCAGGAATGAAGGACAGTGCACCCTTGCTAGCGTAACATAAAGGAAATAAATGCATAGGTCTTCTGCATCCACTATTTCCCTGGCCTTTGTCTCATAAAACGGAACAGATTTCAGGGAAGAAAAATGCTTTATTAGAAAGTATTGCCCATACATTTTCTGCAAGATCTTTCTTTTGCTGTTGGCCTGAAGACAGGATTTCTGTTTCTTAAAAAGTTTTCTTCTAGTCCAATTGGTAGGATGAGTCGGTTTCAAGAAGTTTGTTCCCTAGGAAACAGCAGGTGTTGTCACTGGCGGGGAAAACCCTCCCCCTCTAGGAAGTGCAGCAGCGAGGAAGGAAGCCAAGGCCTCTCGCTTTTGCGCTTACGCGCTGAAGACCCCCTTTTGCTCGGAACTAAACCTCGGCTGTTTGTGATTTAAAGCCCACTTCAGGTCTGACCACTAGAGACAGCAACGGCCGCCCGGCTTGGCTCGGAGGAGACCCTCCCCGCCATGCTCTAGCGATCGCGGTGCCGCGCCAGCGCCGGGAGCGCGCCGGGGGCGGCCCCGGCTGAACAGAAGCCCCGGCCCCGCTGCTTCCCGTCCGGAACAGCACGACCATATTTGGAATTTCCTCCACGCCTTTTATGGCACTTCCGTGGCCCAAAAATGGAATTTCCTGCTCAGGCGTTCCGGGGCTGCGCCGCGCAGCCGCCGTGATGCTGCGGCGCGCCCCCCCTTCCCTTTCCCCCCGCCTCTCCCCCTCCGCCCCCCTCCCCTCGGGAGGCCCGCGCCGGCCGTGGCTCACGCGCCTCCGGGCGGCGGAACTCCGCTCCGCAGTGGGCCGAGCGGCGCGCCGCGGCTCTCCGTGGGGCTCCCAAAGGCTGCTGGAGCCCAGGCCGACTAGCAGCGCTTCTTCGCTGCTGGCTACTATTCGTTTTCCTTGACAGGGACTGCGTCGCTCTTCATACGCGCCTCCGAAATAGGTAGGATACCGTCTAACCTGGGGAGAGCTGCAGAGGCCAGTGACCTTGTCCGCCCAGGCTTTTTCTCTGCCGACGCTTTCCGTAAGCGACCGTTTACGTGGCGATAGTCCTCGACTAGGTGGCTGGCTTGCGCTTTAATTGCACTAGAGGAAAAATGACTGTTCGGTTTTCTTTTCCCTTAGAAATAAGGAGCTAAAAATTAGTTCGAGCATACTCGGAGCCCGGAGTATCTGCTGTGGTACGCTAGGTGACCTGTTGCATTGTGTCCTCTTGTTTTCTAGAAATGCCGCTGGAGACTTTCTGTAAAGACGGTAAAATGAACTGTTACAGATATTTCTGCTGTGACTGCGAACTGCTCTTACTGGAGAGATGAGACAACACGGAGAAAAGACATGTAGGCAGAGACTTTCTAGCGAAGAGGTACGTCGTCATGGGCCTTTCTTTCCTTTAGGGCTTTCACTCGTACGTGCCCGGACTTTGTGCATCTGAGCAAGACCTCAGGTAGCCCCAAGAAAAATAACTTTGTAGACTCTGAAGTGGTAGCTGGCAGACTGAAGGTGATCTGAGCTGTGGCAGATGCCCTTAGAAGGGCTGTCCCCAAGTAGGTGCTCACTGCTCTCAGGTTGGACTAAAGCTGAGTGTAGCAGCTGAAGGCTGGCTCCTGAAGTGTGTCTTTGACCCATTCTAAACCGAATTATTAACTAGGACTGACCCCTTCTAAAGCAAACTGCACTGTTTACTAGGGCTAGCATGTTTTGTGACTTTCAGGTATAAGTGGTTGTTTATTTCAAATGTTTTCTGTTTGTGACCCAGTAGACTTTAGTGTCCCAAAGAGTTTTGAGTGTAGATAATAAATTTATGAAGAGGGCTTGGTGGTGTGATTGTTGAGCTAAACATCCCATGTTTTTACCTGTGTGCATTATCTTAATGTAGCCCTAATAAGTGCTAGTTAAACCTAGAAAAGAGATTGCATGTTTTAAAGTGCACAAAGACTCCAGGATGAGATGTGAGATGTAGCTAAAGAACAAGAACTTTAAAAATAGTTAAGCTTTTCTGCTGTAATCAAAGATCAGCCTTGACTGACCCTAATCATTTATAGTCTTGAATGAAACTCTCTCCTCTAAATAGCTGAGGCTGATGCTTATACATAATCTCTAGCACTTTCCAGGCTTCGTCATAATTTTTTGGCACTGTCATAACAAAAATGGTGGTCACACAGAAGTATTTTCTATGTGTATATTTCACTTCCATAAATACAAAAAGCATTATCAAAGTATGCTTTGTGATCCTTTTTTTCTTTTTTAAGAAGCATAGAGCGTTATCTTTTTCTTTTGTGAGCTTTTCATACCCCATTTTTATATCTCCAAACATGAATGATATTAATGCTACCAGTAAATGTTGATAGTTGAAAGTTCTGCTATTCATGTCCTCTGTTAGGTTGACCTGGGTAATATGACATGACTTCTCTTATCCCAGCTACTGTGATAGTGGGCTTCTCCTGTAGCAGTACAACTGTTGATCAGTAAGAGATCTGCAGACATCGGAGCTGGAGAGATGGGGAGTGTCCTGGATTAGGGTAAATCTGGGAGAAAACCTCCAAAGGGGGCTCCCCCAGAAAACAAACCCACACAGCCCCTTTCCCCCACCGGTTCGGGAAGGATTCCTCGGAGAGAAGTGGAAAGAACCTGTTTATTTAACAGGCAAAACACCCCCAGCACACAAAATGAACAATACCAGATGACAGCACTTTCACCGATCTGAAAAGGATGACAAATTCAGAAAGTCTTTCCTGGGAGTGGTCGCTCTGTTGTTGCTCTCTCCGGTGCTGGGGATGGCTGCTGCAGCCACAAGGTGCAAACTCTCGGTGTTTCCCAGGTCCCAGTCCGGAGCAGGTTTGAATGGCTTCAAAAAGGGAAGGGAAAAAACAGTCCAGGGAAAAATCTGGACCGCTTAGCTAAACTAACAGAAGCAAAAAGCAAAAGCAGAGCAGGAGCAAAGCAGGAGCGAAGCAGGAGCAAGAGCAAAGCAAAGCAGCAAAAAGCCAAGCAAAAATCAAAAGCCGCACTATGTACTGTCCCGTCTCTCTGTCCCGCCAGCCGTCGGGGAGCAGGCTGATAACAAACCAAAACAAACCTTGCTCTTCAGAACCAGTCTTGAAGGCACAGTACATAATATCCAGCACCAACAGAACACACGACTCGGGATACAAGCATCATAACCTCACCCTAGGACAGGGAGAAAGAGTTTCAATGGTAAGATGCAGTTAAAACTTTAAAACAGACTGAGCATTACTTTTTATGTCTGTGGCTGTTTTTCAATCTGACCAGGGTAGTCGGGGATGGCTTTAGAAGCTCATGAAAACATGTTATATAATGAATATCTAAAATCTGTTTACCCTAATTACTGCGCTTGTTTTTGCACCAGTGTGCGTAGCTCTCAGGTTATCTACCAGAATGTGCCCAGCTATGTAGCGAGTCACTGAACTGCCTGGTGCATTCTGACATGTGATATTCTGTGAGCTTAGTGTGTGAACTGGAGCTAGGTGTCTAGATTTGCCCACATTTACAAGAATTGTAGTCATAGCCACCTTGAAATACTTTTAAATACACCTTAGCAAAATCTAAACATTAGTCAAAGAAATGTGGTTAAGCTATGGAGTGAATGAGTTTAGTTTTACCATTTTTAATGCTTTTGCCTATATTTTTCTTTGGAATACTTGAAAAAACACTGGAGCATAAGGAAATGAAGGGACAGGCTCAATTGAGGGAATCTTACTACCAATATCTGTGAACAAAACATCAACAGTGGATCTTAGAATACTGTCTAAAAGGTTTCCTCCTAATTAGCCAGAGATATGGAGTTGGAAATAGGACACAAAGTTGAGGGGCACGTGCAGCAGCAGCATTTTGTTCTGAAGATACTTGCGGTTAAAGCTTTCGGACGTGAATCTTAGGTTCTCTTTGTGGAAATAAGTGTTCTGTAATTATGCATGGATTTTAAACATTCAATATACAAGACTAAATCTCTTGCTGGTTTTAGAGCATTGCATTGGAAGTCTGTGTGGTTTCTCTTCTTTTCCTGTTCTTAAATGAACTTAAAGTAACTTTAAAATAAATCAACTTTTTCTTGTTTTTTTTTTTTTTATTTTAGATGCTGGAACTGCCTCTCTGGATGTGTGCTCAGCTCTCGCTGCTATGGACTGTGTGGCCTTAATTGCTGCAGGTTCCTGTTCTCACTGAAGAATTGGAAATAATTATTAATTAGACTGCCGAGATGTTTCCTAAAACCTTTCCCTTCAGTGGTAGATCTTCTCTTTCTGCCTTTGAATTTACAGTGATTCTTGGATGTCATTCACCTACCCAAATTCCTTGCAGCTCCTGGGGTAGAGAGAAGCTTCTCCTGTGGCTGAGGTTCAGTGGGAAAATGATACCATGTGTTCCACCTCCTTAATAAATGTAACTGCTCTTTATTCTTAGAGTGCAGATTTAGTTAATCCTTTTTCAACAGAAAGTGGCAGGCTGAACTCACCTGAATTACTGAACCATACTTTGGATAGTTGAATTTTTTAAAAGAAAAAAAAAAAAACCAAAAAAAAACCAACCAAACCCAGGTTTTTTGTCTGTGGGTTTTACTGGTATTGCTCCTTAATTGAGCCACAACTTTAAATAATTACGTGGGCACTTTCTGGAAACAGGTCTCATGGGACCTCTGGGCTCACGTTTTTCCATTGCCAAGTTAATTACAGGTCCAAGCTGACAGTGCCTGTGCATCTGGTGTTCATTGATCTGTTTGTGATACTAATTTCATTTGGATGCAGAGTTGGGCTTTTGGGGCAGATGATGCCCCTCAAGCCATGAGGCTTGTTTAAACCTTGTACTCTACTTTTTGAAGATCCGGGTGGGTGAGGACTTTGTCTTGTTGCTGTATTAGGGGATAGCATTCAGGAAGTTCCTACAATCTTCACACTGAAGTTGAAATGTTCAAGGATATCGGTGTGATGGTTCTCAGGGAGGAATCTTGCTCCCACCAGTCTGTAGTGTGGTAGCGTAGGACCCAGAAGAGTAGGGTGTGAGGGACAGGGTGGATAGGAACACTTCCCCCACCAGAGAGAGTAAATCTAAACCAGAGAGTCAGAAGCCGGAAGCGATGACCGATTGCTCCACCACCAGGCACTGTAAACTGGAAGCAGCAAGTCGTAACCCCAGAGTGACTGCCAATACTTCCACAACCAGACAGAGCAATCTGCAACAGCTGCAGAAAGCATCTTTAAGATCTGTCTCTGAAAACCAAATAAAACCACCTCAAACTTTAGTTAGCAAGGTATAGGGATTTGCAGCTACTGGGTGAATACTTTTAGCAACTCCATTAAGTGCTCATAAATCTTGCAGTAGTCTATAAGTGCCAATAGGTTTCCTTACTGGTAATACGGGATTATTAAATTCTGATTCGCATTCTTTCAACAATCCTAGTGTCAGGAATTTATTGGTTATTTGCTCTATTCCTTTTCTGTTTTCCAACCTTACAGGGTATTGCTTTCGGACTACTCACCTAACTCCTGTCTGTAGTTCAGTTTAAAAATGGTCTGCCCATTTTGATCTTGACTGGGTATCCGTATGCCATACTGATTAGGTATTTGCTCTAAATAGTTACTATTGCTTGTTAGTCTTGTGTCAATTGTCAGTCCTAATGCTGAAATAAATTTGTCTTCAGGTACCTTAAATTTAATTTTTCCTTCTCTAAGCTCAATTGTGGCTTTTAAATTTTCAAGCAAATCACTGCCTAGCAGAGATTTGGGTGAATTAGGTAAATAAAGAAACTGGTGTATTCCCATCTTCTTCCCGATTTTATATTTAAGTGGTTTCAGGAAGAATGCATTTTCTGGCTGGTCAGTGGCTCTTATTACTTGAATGTGTTTTTAATTTTTAGGTATCAATGCTTGATTTAAGACTGAAAGCGTGGCTCCAGTAGCTACTAAAAATTCAACTCCTTTATCATTCCATGGCTGTATTTTAACCAGCGGGTCCACTAGGGTAAGATCTGGCAGTCCCTGTCATTCATTATAATCTAGAGTGGCTTCGTGTACTTTGTCTCCTAACTACAAGCACTGGCGTTTCCAGTGTCCTTCTTTCTTACAGTATGAGCATTGATTTGGCCCCAGCTTAATCTACGGCCGGTTTGAACCTCTTCTGCCTCCAGTATTTCTGCCTCTGCCTCACCCACACCCTCAACACTGGTGCTGATCCAGAGCTGCCAGTATGGCTGTAGTGAGTTCTTTCCTCTTTTGTTGATCCCTATTATTGTACACCCTCCATGCTTCTCCCATTAATGCCTCTAAATCTGTGTTTACAGGCTCCTTCGGTTTCTGAAGTTTCTGCCCAATATTTGGGCTAGATTGCTCTAACATCAGGAGAAACTAACTGTTGCTTTCCCATATCTGACAGGGGATCTAGGGTGGCAACTTTACACATCGCTGCTTGGAGCCTGTCCACAAAGTCAGTGGGTGACTCATGCTGTCCATGTTTAACTGACCAATTAACTGCTTTTGGAATGGCATTTTCTAATCCAAATTTGACTAGTTCCCAGTACTTAGTTAACGTCGCATAGCTGCCTGCATCATTCAGGTCCGACAAAGGTTTTACAATAGGAAACAGCTGGTCCACTGTACCTTGGTAAGGCTCCACTAGCAGTTTGTCCCTGCACATGTGCTCTGGCCGTGTTTGTCACTAGCTCTTTTTCTGTTTCTGTTAGGTCTGTCAGCATTAAATCAATATCACCCCAATCTGGGTTTTGATTCCTGACTACTAACTCCATCCTTTTTGCTACTTTTCTTGGGTCTCCTCTGTAATTCCTAACTTCTCCTGGCTACCTATTCGGGTCACTAGTGGAAAAGGGGACCTTCCTGCACAGCTTCTCCTGTGGGACCCACTGCTTGCCTTAAGGGGGTGACCAAAGGCAAAGCTTTCTTGGTTTTACTCTTTGTACGTGCTATCATCAGGGTCCCCGAACTTGTCCGCTCACCAGGATCATCCATCTCATCCTCACTACCACTCGGGCTTAATTGAGGGGGAGGAGCAGCCGGTGGAGAGCGTACAGCTGGCCTGGTAAGTAAGTCTCAGACATCTGTAACACTGTCTTCCTAATGCTTTTCTGCCTACTTCAAACATCTCTGCCCTATACTACATGCTGAACAACATCTCTTTATTTTCCGCCTGATAACTCTTTCCACAGCTCGGACCAAAGGGTCTTGTGGGGCCAAATTGATGCCACATTCCTTCTGCTACTTGGGTTTAATTCAAAGTTCCATTAGAGAGCTACTTTTCACCACTTTCCGCTTTATACAAAGGCCACCACTGGATTACCTGTCTTGAAATTGCCCCTTGGGATTCCTCCCAGATTTTTCCAATGTGCTAAAATACATCCTTGTGGGTTTTTATAACATTTTTACTTCCTGTGTTACCCATTTTTAATGCTATCCAAATTTCCACACTTGTACATTCTGTGTTAGTACTTCTTCTCCTTTCTTTATCTTTATTCCCCATGTACTACACTTAACACACACTGGGCATCTCTGAATCGCCAGGCACCACTATTCTCTTCTACAGTACTGACAAGCAACGTAAACAAAAGGATCTTTTGTTTACAAAACCACTTCCACACAATACACAAGGAATTGGGGTATGATAGGACACAAAATGAGTCCTAAAATACACAAGGGAAACAACTAATATTCTTACAACACAAAATGCACAAAATACCACAATCAAAACCCAAAATGCCAAGGCCAATACCAAAGGGCATTGGACTTCTTTTGGGGACTCTAAGGCCTTGCATCAACTTCAGGAATTTCACCTGTGATACAGCACCCTGGAATGTCTTACAGTGTCTTGACCTGGAATGTCACCTGTGGAATGTCTTACAGGAGCGACTTGACCGAGACCTGAAACAAAATTCAGAACAATAAACAAATACCTGAATTTCCTGTGGTCGGTTCTTGTCTGCCCTTGCAGAAAGCCGGTGAAGCGCGGAGTCCCTTCCAGAAATTCTCAGGGCACGCCAAGGGAGTCCCCAGCTCCAACAGGTCTTGCAGCCAGGCAGAGAGTCCCGTCCCGCCGCAAGGTCGCCAGAGCGATGCTTGAAACCTAGGCAAGAAAACGGTACTCAATAGCGTAAGGCCTACAGAGCAGGTATTTGTTTATTCGACGCTAGGGGCGAGGGGGATAGCTCCACCACAGACTCACTTGCCCATTCCTCACACCGTACTAGCTTTTATACTTGTTTTATTTAACGTGCACATTATACTTTCTTAACCTTCATACTGTAACATTTTCTAATTGCATCGTTACATAAGCCCTTATAACACATGCGTGGTTTCAGTCCAAGGTCGTCGTCTGACATCTGGTGGTCGTTTTGGGTGAAGGCTCGTAAGTCTTCCTTGGGCTCAAACTTTTCACCTCTGTTTTCTGCACATGTTCTATAGGATTGTCTGCTCAGATAGCCAGTTGTTAGCTTTTTGCAGTTACCGTGTTTTAAGTTTCTTTTCCTTGGGCCAGTTCTCATAAGCCCTCAAAAGAAACATAATACACCCAAGGATAGCTCAGCTATTACTTTGGGGGCATAAAATAAGCAGGATGACTTCTGCTGCAGTGTTAGAAACAAAAAAGGTTTAATAAAAGGTAAAATAACAAACAGAAAAACTCTGTTTTACCAGGAGCAGAGGTCTGCTCCTGGTAAAAACACCTCACGAGAGCACTTTAGCTCTTTTGTTCTTTTCTGCCTGATGGGCCAGGTGGGACTTTTTGGCTTCTATCCAATTAGATGTCCTCAAGTTTTTGGTGAAGTCCCCGAGATCCTATGAGGTGGCTTTTCACCTAATTGTTGAGAGAACCTTCTGGGCTTCTTTCCTTTTTTGGGGGACAAAGGCTAGTTTTGCCACTCTGTCATTAGGGGGCGCACTCGTACAAGCTTGTTCTGCTAAATTTGCTGATTTCTAAAAAGTGCTCCATTCGTATCCTGTTATAAAGTAACTACTTCTTTCTGCATAGCTGCAGCTTTTGCATGGCTCACACACTGTCTTATTGCCTAGGCATCGCTCTGCTGAAGCGTTTCTAAGTGTGGCAGTGGGCTTTGCTGCAGCTGGAATTTATTTCTGTTTCAGGAAGCGTCTCATCATGTAGTCTGCGATTTGACAGTTCCTGTGCCAGGTTAATTGCAGCAGAAGACAGCAAATGAAGCCAAGAGACTCAACTAGGATGCCCCAGGTACCTGCCAAGCACAGATCACAAAACACCAAACCCCCGGGTTACAAAAACACTAAAAGCTCATGTTACAAAAGACAGAAAAAAGCCTACGAAACACTAGGTTCCAAAATATCAAAATAACCTGGTTTCAAAATACTAGAAACCTAAATTTCAAAGTATCAGAAAGCCAGGTTTCAAAATCTCAGTTTTAAAATACTGGAACACCAAGTTCCAAAATACCAGAAAAACCCAGGTTCAAATTACCAGAACAGCAAGGTAAGAAATATCAAAGTAACCCACTTTTAAAATACTGGAACAACAACTCCAGAAATACCAATGTAACCCAGTTTCACATTACCACAGTAACCCAGTTTGAAAATACCAGAATACCAGGTTCCAAAATACCAAAATAATACAGTTTCAAAATAGCAAAATACAAGTTTCAAAATATCAAAATGACCAATTTCAAAATACCAATTTTTTTATGTGTTATACTGGCAAGATTCCCAAACATAAAAGAATGCAATATTGTCAAAATGAGATCTTTGCTACCAAAATTGATATTTTCTCCTCTGAAAAACTTTCCCTGATGACCATTAATGCATGTATTTTTTTTCATCATTTAGCCAGAGGTAATAAAAATTTTACTTTAAAAACAAACATCTGTAGTAGTTGTCTGCTTAGATTGTGTCTGTGAGAGCTGGCATATGGGCCGGAGAGCGGCCATCGAGAGCAAAGGATGGAGTGAATCTGTTCCCTGCAAATGCCTGGGCAAAGACTGAGAAGCAGAAAAAGGGAGTATTTATAAACTATATCAATATTTCACTGAAATTCAGGGTGGAGCGGCGATGGCGGATGCTCGGGTTTGGTCAGGGTTAGCCAGAGACAACCAAGCCAAACCCCTGACACCTCAAGGGATTTGTCAAAAGCTTCGACACAAACACAAGTCAGTAACAGCTACAGAAGAAAAAGTGCCAGTAATCACTTACGATCTGTGGAGAATTTCCTCGCTAGTTACAAAGCTAAGACGTACGGAATTTTGGAGGCAGAATCCCAGTTTTGGCCACGGGCACACCTAGAAAGACAGTTCATTTCCTTGGAAAGGAAAGTCTGGCACCCCATTGTTTAAGGAGCAGACAAAGGGCTGTGTAGGGGAGGGAACTCCCCACAGGACCTTTCTTCACCTCAGCCCCCGCTCCATGGTCTGGCAGCCCCCCGTGTGAGCAGCCGCTTTCAGAGGGCTACCCGGGCACACCCGCACAGGGAGCTGCTCGTCCAGAGGGGCTGACGGGGGTATCCCAAGCCTCCCTCCAGGAGCTACGGTTGGAGCATCCAGCAGGGACCAGGGAGCAGCTGGACCCACCCGGGCACAGAGCAGCACTTCGAGAAGATGCCAAGGGAAGAACTCTCTTGCCAAGGGGCAGCACCTGAGCAGGCTGGGCAGCATGTGGGGTTCCAGGGGAGAGCTTTCAAATTTCCCCTTTTACTGTGTCAGTCCCTCCCCAGAGCCCCCAGGCCCTCCACAGTACTCCCAGAAAAAAGGGGGGTTAGTAAGAAAAAAGGGGTTTAAATTGAGGGGGAAAAAAGCTTCCTTTTCCAATATTTTCTGTGTGCAAATTGTGAGGGAATCTGCTTCCCTTGCAATTTTAATGGTCTCAGTTGAAAGAATCCCTGCCTCGTCTATAGTGTTAGGGGTGTTAATTGACAGGGAGTCCCCATTTTCCATTATTTTCCAGTTTAAATGGAAGGGGAAAACCTTGATGTTTTTAATGGGTTTGAATTAAGCGTAACTGCCTCCTTTTTGTTGTCCTAAGGCTTAAGTTGAAGGGGAAGTCCAGTTGCCTCTCCTTCTTAAGGGTTTGGATTGAGGGAAAAATCCCTCTTTTTTCATCACTGGATTTAAAGTGAGGAGAACCCCACGTTTCCCAATATTGTAGGGGATTAAATTAAAGGGAAGAAGCCATTTATTTACCATTTTATCAGTTTCAGTGGAGGCAACTGCCCTATTTCATTATCTTAAGGGGTGCACTTGAAGGAAGCTCTGCCTTTTTCAGCATTTTAACGGTTTAAAACTACATTTCAAGGCACTTCTTTCTATGCCCTAGGACCAAATATCCCAGAGAAGGGTGAGCCTGGCATGTACTTAACCCTTACACTGCCTGGGAGAGTATTATATTTCTTATTTTTATTTATAATGGAGATAGCCCTAATAGAGGTCCCAAGGAGACTTAGATTATTCATATCATTAGTATTCTACTCCACCCTACTTAGTCACGCATGAAACACTACTTAGCAGTCACTAAGGAATAATTATGTAAGGTAACAGAAAATTACTCAATTTATCTAGCTATGCTGCCTATACATAAAGTTTTATTTCTTACCAGTTTTCTGCCCTTTTGCTCCAAGTAGTCGCAGCAAAAAAAGCGTTGTCATTTCCCTGAAGAATTTTCTCCTATATCAAGCCCTTTAGTCCCCTGGAATTCAAGCCAGAGGAGCCAAACAGCTGCAGCCGCTCTGAGGGCTTTTATACCGGGTGGGATTTGCCCCCTCCCTTTTCCTGGGCGGTGTGGGAACGAGAGGCGGGCACCATCAGGGGTATATTAACCCCAGCCTTTGCTAAGGGGCTTCATTCCCTCTCTGGGATCTGCTGGGATAGGAGCTCTCCTTTTATTTTGGTGAAGAGGCTCTTTCAGCTTATCTCAGCTTATCTACTCAGGTTATGCCAAGCCCCTGTCACCAACCGGCTGATGGACCAAGTTTGCTGCTCTTGTGAGCCCTGTGGAGGTATTGCAGGACTCTGTCATGAAGCCTTGAAATTGTCTGTGTAAAGGCCCCTCCTGGATAGCCCTCAGGAATGGCCGAGGAGTCACGGTGAGTCAGGGAGGTATTGAGGAGGAGCCAGGGCCCACTCAATTCTCAGCAGCGCCACGCCACCTCGTCTCCTCTTTACCCAGGCGTACCCTACGACGACGGCGTCGGTCTCAGAGCACGGCTAAAGCGTGCGGCCCGAGGAGCCGGTCCTTCTTAGGAAGATGTGAGTAGCAGAATTGTCGGCTTTTGGTCGATGTGCTGGTAAGATGCTGCACTGATGTCTGGTTTTCCTTATCTTGACAGACTAGGAGACAGCAGCCTGGTGACAGCAGGAACGTCCCAGACAGCCCGGTGGCCTTCCTTTGCACCTGATGTGG